TAGAACAAGAGTGGGATAAATCAGGGAGATAAGGAGAAGGAGTAAGACGGTTGGTATTTCTAGAGCAGAGATTTTACCCTTTATCGGAGCACATGCTGCGTGGAGCCACACCATCACGGAGTGAAAATGAAGTGACTGCAATTACCTGATGCTCTCCTTTAATTCCCCCAACCAGTAACTTCCACAGCAATCCATGCAGCAACACTGGCGCCTGACCTTGCGTTTCCACACCTCCCCGAGCAGCGCCAACACCGCAACATGTTAAAAAAACTCTTAAAAAAGGAGGTTAAGTCAAAAGAAGACAGTTGCTACCAGCTTTCACGGCTTTAATGGGTTGGAAATAGGCCAACATCCGTGTGCTGGAGCTCAGGAATGAATCTGCACGTACTGGAAGAGAGCTGCAGCCAACGTCTTTACAGCTGCTCGGCGCACACAGGTCTTTGAACTTGCGTCCCTTACATGCACCCAAATAGCCCAGCAGGCAAGGGACACCCCTCACGTGCAGCTGAAATCCTGGCCGTAAGGCATGCTTCTCATGTGGCAAAACAAGCCTTCTCACAGTTAAGTTCCCAGGATTGCTTCTCTGCTGGACTGCCTGTGATTTTAAGGCAAAGTAAAAGCCAGCAGCAAGTACAACAGGCTGGCCATGACACGTGGGATACTGCACAAGCTCCTTTTTCTTCAGTGATGCTGGAAGAAGACAGAAACAGCTCTGAGCCGAGATGCTGCAGCTCACAGGTGGGTAACAGGGCACTGGACACTAAGGTGGAAATGCATTTGCATTACTATCAGCAAATTTATTGCCTTGGACCATTTTGATACAGCAGAGTCCCGTGTTGAATGCACGGTGCGGTCTCCTCTCCCCCATAGGCTCTTTTCTTGCATTTGAAGATGTTTCTCCAACAACTTCAATCTCTATTAATATTACAGTCTTCATCCCAGACCATGATATAGATACAAGCCAAAGAATTAACAAGCTCTCTGCACATGAGGCAGCAAAAACTACTTTCCCCCTTTCATATAAGGTCCTATACAATCCTAATGCTCCAGCATGTGTGTTTCAGCAAAGCAACCCCCTGAAGAGGGAGGGTTGCTCTTTGTATCTTTTCTAATTGGCAGGGTTTTGACTTTAATCTCATGGATAAGTGTTCTGCACTTTTCATTACCAACATTTAACTTGCATATTTAAAAGCTTTGTAAAAAAAATTGTTTCAAATGCTCCTTTTGATGTTTGATCATTTCTTTCAGGGGTTTGACCATTACAGGTGTTAACTTTTGAAGACGCACATGTTCTTTTGCTGCGCAATTTGTTCTCTTCTGTCCTGTGTACATCCCTCCTCCCCTCACAAGGTACAAATCTGGGCCCGTCTCAACACCGCTACCTACACAAGTCCCATAGAGGAACAAGATCTCCTGCTCGGTTTCCAATGCTCTCGTTTTTTAATTTCCTTATTCCTGTAAATCACTGCAATTCTGTCTTTCTTCACAGGAGCGTGAAGGTTCAGCATGTTCTCTGTTGGCTCTGCCAGTGCCCACAGTGGAGCTCACACCTGGGGCTGTTGCTTTCAGTTACTTACTGCATACTGTAATGAGCAACAGCTCGTATCTGTCATGGAATCATAGAATTGTTAAGGTTGTAAAAGACCCTTAAGATCATCGAGTCCAACCATTAACCTATCACTGCTAAGTCCACCACTAAACCATGTCCTTAAGCACCACATCTACCCATCTTTTAAATACCTCCAGGGATGGGGACTCAACCACTTCTCGGGGCAGCCTGGTCCAGTGCCTGACTGCCCTTTCGGTGAAGAAGTTTTTCCTAATATTCAACCTAAACCTCCCTTGGCACAGTCTGAGGCGCTGTCTTCACAACTAGCTAAGGTGCTCGACTATGCTAAATATGTTTAACTTAGGGAAGTCTCCAACAGGTCAAGAACAACTGAAGAAAACCAGCAGCTCTGGAGCAGCAACTGGAGTGGAGCTGGCAGGAGCCTGACCAGCAGCTGGCTGGTCCTGCTAGTTTTTTTAAGCTCAGTCAGTATCTACACTTGCAGAAGCGGAAAAGCTGCAGGGCTTGAGGATTTCAGATACCTTTGGCCATAGGAAGCAAGTGAAACCCTGAAACATTTTTCAACTTACACCACATCCCTTGCCTTCTGCAGATGAAAGTGCGAGGAAAGGCAGGAGCCTGGGAGCACAGACTTCCTCCTCCTCTCGCGGAGACCAGCCTAGTCGGAAGGAAACTTCTACTGCTTATCTTCACTTCAGAAAACAGACACAGCCCATGGTGGAAAAACATGGGCAGAGGCCAACAAGAACCCTGGGGGCGCAAACAGCGGCTTTGCATCAAACCTCCTCAGTACTCACGGCTTGCGACTTGAGTTTTTTGGAGCCATGCTTTTATGGGGTGTGAGAATCTGGCTCAGGATTCCCATTCATCGCACTCTCCCAGCAATAAGTAATGCCAGCTTGCAAAAACCACACGCCTGAAAGCGGTGTGGTGGGAGGGCACGTTCACAACGCACCCAGGCTCTCCTTTGTGCAACTTCTTCTTTCTGAACCACCGGGCACTTGCGAATGTTTCTGAGCTTTTCACCTTTCATTTTGTAAAGGGAAGTTGTAATTTTCCAAAGAGCAACTGCACCAGGAGATAGGGCTTTAAGAGGAAAAAAAAAACCAAAAAACCAACAACGAAAAAGCCCTCAAAAGCCCACGTTTATTGCCAAAGTCTCTAAAATCATGAGATTTGACAATAAGGCTTTTGTTCTTACGAACACATGCAACTAGGCAACATGCAGCTTGATTTCTGCAGCCAGCAGATATTCAAAATACGTTCCACATACAATAAGTGTCAATTTGACTTTATTTAAGGAAAAACGGGGAAAAAACAGTAATTTCCATAATACACAGAAGACAAGTTAGATAGCACTGCAAAAAAAAGGCTGAGTGTTTTACTTGTCACCAGTCTGCTTTGCAGCTCTACGATTAGTAATTTTAATGCAGTTTGTCATTTTGTATTATTGTTTAGCATCTTTATAATCAGCAGAGTTTGGGGTTATAAATCACAAAAAGTGTACTACTACTACTATGAAAAACTAAAAAACCCACAAAAATCACTTTCAAATAAACCATAAATATGTGATGCACATTAGTGTAACAAAACCATTTTTGTAAACATTTTCTCCAACATAACATGTGCATAAGATAAAAAATAAAAACACTGCAGTCATACAAGTTAGGGTTACTTTGACTTAAAGATACAGAAAATTATTACTTATTAAAGCTTAAAACTAAACCTAGGAGCTTTTCTTTTCTTCTTTGCTTACAAAAGCACTGCTTGAAGAGTTCCATGTTGGTATACGTAGTGGTTTTGTAATACTGTTTTTACCTTGCCGTGTTGGCACTTCTGTGGAGGCAGAAGCTGCCAGGCGGGCAGCCCCACCGAAGGAAGGAGATTCCCCCCCCGGAGCCTCAAAACTTCAACAGCACATATCCATGACCTGGGCATCCCTACAGTACTGGAGCATCTTCCTCTAGGTGAATAGCATCAGCTTTGAAGGACTAGATTAATTTTTGACCACATAGCGCTGGAAGATTTAAATCACGCAGACTGACATTCGATCGAATCAGCTTCGGCAAACTACACTACAGGGCAGCTGTGTGATTACACCCACATCTACCATCACGTTGCGTTTCCGAGTCCCCTTTAGTTCATTATAGTACAAAAGGTTGATCGTTCTTCTGGCTGGCCACACCGGGCCTGAAAAGAACACATCCTTCACCTTCAACGCTATCCAAAAGTCATACAATTAAAAAAAAAAAAATAGTTCTAGGTATTCCTCCGCCAGCAAATGTAAGGCTTTCTTGAGTTTTTATTCTTTTTGGGGGGGTGTGGGGTGTGTGTGCACGCGCGTGCGCTGGCGGTACGCATTTACCGCTCGCTTTTCAACCGTCTACGATGTTCAAAGGAGAGTCTTCAGCAGCAACGCTGACTGGGGTTGAAGGATTTACAGCAGTCAGATTTGACACCAAAAGAAGGGTCTGTCGAGTCTGAGCTTTGCACCCTCGGTGCTCTTGGCTCTTAATTGATTGTGTGACCAGTCGCTTGAGCCATCGACTTGACTGAATGGAAGAGTACGTGTTTAAAAAGCCCTACCTGTCATGCCATGAAGGAAAGTTAACCGCAGCAGAAGACAAAGCCCATGAAACACTGAGAGCCTGTTCACTGAATGAACAGCTTAAGGCAGCTGTCAACAAAGTACCCCACCAAAGGAATTAAAAAAAAAAAAAAAAAAAAAAGAAAAAAAAAAAAAAAAAAAACAAAAAAAAAAAAAAAAAACAAAAAAAAAAAAAAAAAACAAAAAAAAAAAAAAAAAACAAAAAAAAAAAAAAAAAACAAAAAAAAAAAAAAAAAACAAAAAAAAAAAAAAAAAACAAAAAAAAAAAAAAAAAACAAAAAAAAAAAAAAAAAACAAAAAAAAAAAAAAAAAACAAAAAAAAAAAAAAAAAACAAAAAAAAAAAAAAAAAACAAAAAAAAAAAAAAAAAACAAAAAGAAAGAAAAAAAGCCAGAGCTGGGATCTTACATCTAAACACAGGTATACGCTGTTTTTATGAATAAGCAGTATTAACTACATTCTTAAAAGAGTTTTAGTGCATTGCATTCTTAAAAAAGAAAAACATCACCGCCCCAAAATGGTTCCTACAACATTTAACAGTTTATAGAACTAGCCTAGTTATTTTTACCTGCCTGTTACTAAGCCCACGTGTTAGAAGAGTGAAATCTCTGGTTTTAGGCTAAATTCAGTCTTCTATCAAGGATGAAACTGGTTTAAAAAAATGCTTGCTTTACCAAATTTTGTAAGCAAATTACATTAATCAGTGTCTCACTGCCATCTTGCTACCACTATTGCCCCAACGGACCACTCTCTCCTCCTGCTGA